TTCCTTTTGATCCTAGGTTCAACTTTGGAAATAATAAACTATTCTAACCTTGGCGGAGCCAGCTTGGGTGTCTGTGCCAAATGGTAATTCTCTCACACCCTTTTTTTTTCCCCCCAGGAGCCTTCTTTTTTGCCAATGTTTTGTTTCTTGTGGGTCCTCCCTGCTTATATCCCCCTTTGATTTTGCTCCTGGAATTCAGGCAGGTTGATGGCAAACAGATAACTTGAGGGGTACATAACATTTGGAAAGAAAACTCCTTTGTTCGATGATGAACTACATGTGCCTGTGTATCTTAGGCACATTACCATTTCTTCAGTCTATGCCCGATCACCTGCACTTGCCAGTCCTTACTATCCTGGGGGAGGGTGGGGAAGAGGTATCATAAGCTTTTTCATAGCCCAGGATGGGAGTGAGGGAAGGGAGAGGGAGGAGAGAAGGTAAAGGAGTCTTACCTGCTTGGGCTCTCCTCATTTGCACAGCAGCTGCTACTGTTGCTATTTTAACAGCATGAGCATGGGCTGGGGCTTCTCCTGGTGCCCCATTTGTCCCCCCAGGGATAGGGGTGACCTTCCCAAGACAAAGACCCCTGGGAGAAGGAGCATCACTTCACCCCCATCAGCTACATTGCTGGACATGGTGCTGCCCCTGCCTGGCTCCCTATGGCCAGGCTGTGCAGGGCTGTGTGCACTGGGGGCAGAGGGCTAGTGCCCCCTCTAAGACAGCACCTAGTGCTTATGTCTTTCTTGTCCCATGCTAGTTATAATATTGAGATGGGGTGTCATTTTTTTATAGTGATGATTTTCCTTGATCTCTCTGACATCCCATACAGAAACACCTCACACTTTACATATCTCCTTTCTTCTCTATGCCCAGGCACATACCATCAGTCACTATCTGCCCCCAGCTTCTCAAGGCATAATAGCTGTGTTCAACACTCTCCCTCCATCTTCCTGTTGAGCCACAGAGGCCTTTCCCTTTCTCCCCGCCCCCATGGACTTTTAGCCTGGCTTTCCTCCAAAATGGCAGGGTGGGGTATTGCCGCTTCAACTGGAATGTCAGATTGTCCCATGTATTGTTGCTTGCAATAAAGAAACATTGTACAAATTAAAGAAATGCATCCTCAGAGTAATGTGATTCTAACCAATAGAATGAAACCCAGAATGAGTTTGGCTCATGGAGTTGATTACATGCTTCAGAAGGATTTTGTGAAGAGGATCCAGATTGGTGCATTTTATGGAGACTTCACAACTGCAGGCCCCCTTTCAGGGTGGCACTAAAACACATGCTTAAAGTTAAATGTGTGCTTAGGTTCCATTGAAGTCAAGTGCTTAAGTGCTCTCCTAAATATGGATGAATTTATGCATATGTTTAAGTACTTTTCTCAACTGAGGCCTAAGAATGTAATTCCCTTTACTTTCTGCTGAAAAAATAAGCTTATTTTTGTCCCTTATCCATCTGGGATTCTGTTTCATTTACTGCATTGTCTGCTTCTATCTCACGTATTCTGCACCTAGTTTATCATTATTAATATTCCCCATCACTTTGTTATACAGCACTTAGCTATGAATATAAGTGGATACTGAATTTACCTGCTATCTGCAGCCAAAGTAGGTTATCTGACAATATAATGCAATGCAAAGATTCAAGGTATGCCTTCAGTTCAAGATAAAGATTTCTTATGTCTTTCAGTCCAAGAAAATTAATGTATCCTCTACTAGCCTCTCTCCACCTTAGTATCCCTTATTAAACTTAGGGCAATTACATCTGAACATCTTTAGTATGACAAACATCAGGGAGCATTTGAGGTTAATGTCAATTAATAGGTTGTGGCAGTCATGGAATAACTGGCAATTTGACTGAGAAATTGAAAGCAACAAGGAGTAGGAAAAAAAGAAAGGGAAGGAAAAATGATATACCAGTTAAAAATCAAAGATAAGGGAGCAGTAAATAATAATCAAGAATATATCTAGATTCAGGAAAAAAAAAACATAAAAGAGCAGTGATCACCTCAACCAAAATGCTATGGCATTTCTCTCTATCTGTATTTTTTATACAATGCTGATCACAGCAGTGTGTGAATGGTAATATATCTATATCCTGTATTATTTCCCATTGGGCATGAGAGGATAATCAGGACCTGATAAAATGATTTATACAAATCTTATTTAATGTCAAATATTTAATATTATTTTAATGAGACCTAGGGAAGTTATTTTAGTAGGTTTATATTTTCTGTGCATGGCTATACATGATTAATATACATTATTTTCACATATGTACTTATTCTCATCCTAAATGTGGCAGAACCAGATCCTTAGCAGTTATAAATTGCTATAGTTCCTTTGATTTTATTGGGACTCCGCAAGTTTACACCACCTGGGGATCTGAGCCAGTATTGCTTATATACATTAAGTACTGTATATTCCTGAGAAAGTGTCATTCAAGATAATGGAAAAGATTGTTTCCTAATGCTATAGAATACTTTGGAAGAAAGAAAAGTAAAGTAGGCTACAGAAGTGAGCTTACAAATAATTTACCATGGAGTAAAAGAGGGTGGAGATTACTGTGCTCAGTTCTTCCACAATAACTGCTTACGTGCATGCGCTTACTCTACAGTAAATAGAAGTGAACCACAGTAAATGATTCCTCTGTCAGGGAGTGTTAAACTGCTGTGGATTAGTTTCCACTTAGTGTGGGATAAAAGCATGCACATGGGTAGTTACCATGGGACACTCAACTCCCAGTAAAGACTTTGCCCCACAGCAAAGACCCTCTTTCTTCCCCTCCCCTGCCACAGTAAATTGTTCATATATGTGCACCCTATATAGATACTTCCTTGTTGGTGGTATGCAAATCAGATAATATTATGGGAAGCACTTCAGTTGATTACTGAATCAGTTGTTGTAAAAAACATTTAAATAATATAAATCTGAATATTTCTTTGTATCAATATATGTGGATCTGGTTTTAAAATTAGGCATATATGATTACTCTGCCAAAAATGTATGTGCAATGGGATGCCTACTGTATCTGTATTTACTATGATTTCAGAAATAAATGAGCTAATCATTCATGTATGCCTAGTCAGATGGGAGGTGGCAATTTTTAAAAATAAATCATGTCACTTGTTTATATGCCCTATCATGATAACCATGTGAGCAAATGAGCCACACAGGCGATATCACATGCTAATTTTAAGCAAGTTCTTGAGGGGGTTCAAAATGATTAGCTGTTCTGTTGTTCATTTGCTGGCTGGTCTTTCACATCTGACTCACATATGACCATTCAAACAATCTCCTGTGTTAAAGAGTAAGACCTTTGTTAAGGTTATATGGCGTTAGTTAGACAAGGTTCTTTGGGTAGATGTGATATCTTTTATTAGACCAACTAAATAGTTGGAAAATTGCTCTTTGCAAGATTTCAGACACAAACACCCTTCTTCAGGCATAGGGAGAGTCTGCGGGTGTTTGTGCGCTCTCCTGGGTGGAATAAAAGCCAATTTGCAAAATGCAAGTCTGTGAAAATGCAAATGCGTGGTAGCAAAGATCAGAGAGGATGGAGACAATAGGTGCGAGGCAGGTAGGTGTGGGGGAATGGGGAGAATATTGACCTGGTGATAGAATGTAGCTGGTAAAATGTATAGAGATTACCTGGGGTTATTGGCTGGCAGGCAGGTTATAATTTGCCATAAATCCAATGTCTATATTTAGTCCATGATTTTTTGTATCCAGTAGATTTATAAAGTAACATTCATAGGCTTGTCTATGAAAGATGTTGTGTAAATTCCCTTTGAGAATTAAAATGGAGAGACTGGAGGGAGAGAGTGGTTGTCTTGTGAGAAGTGTGCACCTACAGGTAATTGGGTATTGTTGTCTTTATAGATTTTTGGTGTGCGTTCATTCTGGTGCACAGTTGTTGTTTGGTTTCTGCTATGTATTTTCCATCAAGGCATTCAGTGCACTGGATGAGATATATTACATTTCTGGAGGTGCAACTGTAAGATCCAGGAATGGTGATGGTTCTGTTGTGGGGTGCAGTTATTGTGGGGGCAATGGAGATATGTTAGCAGGTTTTACATTTCTTGTCCCATTTCTAGATCCATTCAGTGTGCTTTGGGCCATAGGAAGTTTGCTTCTGGTGATGAGCCTGGTGAGTTTCAGTGCTTGTTAGAAGGCTAGGATGGGTGGTTCTAGAAAGATCTCTTTAAGAATTGGGTCTTCTTCTAGTATGGGTTGCAATTGGCACTTGCAATATGTTGGCACATACATGAACTTACACAAGTATGTGCATAAAACCTGACAACAAGAAAAAATATGCTAAACCATATTCCAAAATGTTACATAAACCTAAAATTAAGGTAATGAAAAACCTTGAATTTCACCACTTGTCCACCAGGTAACTTTTCCCTTTGCTTTGGAATCCCTCTTTTTGACACACATCACCTAGAAATAAAGCTAGCTTTGTTTCTTCACTATCATTGTTTATTCACCTTCACCTGAAGTGCTTTCCTTTAAAAGTCCAAGACAAATAAGTTTTAATTTAAGTTTATAAAGCAAAAACAAAATTTCATTTCTATTAAAATGGCATGAACATATTAATAACTCTGAGCTCTTATGTAGCAAATCTCATCTGAAGATCTCAAAGCAAAAATAACTAATTTATTCTCCAATATATCTAGCATTAGAGAGAGATCCAGCCCAACTTTCTCAAAGCTGGTGAATGTCAAACCAGTCTAAATCAATCTCTAGTTCAACCCAGACTAATATGGAGTTGCATGACTGAAGTAAAATAAGTAGCAGACATTAGTGCATATGATGAAATTTTGCAATGATGAAATTTTGCTGCAAGATGCCTTAGTATTGCCATCAGAAGAAAACACCTTGCACAAATATCTAATGTAATGGCTCCATTTTGGGGGGGCTAGAAGTATTCTTCTAAAAAGCTGAATAAAATAAAACTGAAAACATAAATTGTAAGAAGAGAGATACTTCATTTCATCTCACCCAAGAGGTAGCATTTATTAATGGCCACTTGGCAGTAAAAGGCACAGGCACAGTATGTGGATTATTTTAAATTATTACATGTCCCCGTACTTACAATATAAGTAATTAAATTAGTACAGTTGACTACAAAAACAAGTAATAAATCTACATTAGTTTGTTGAATCTGTTAGTGGATATCCTTCATGTCTAGTTCAGATTAATATTTATAGCTCTGCTTGAATATCTGTACTTGGCTCTGTAAATGTAGCTTGGAGGACACCAACAACTGTGCTCAGTTTTGTGATGCCATCAAAAAGTCCATGTTGATTGAATTCCAAAATGATTTTCAAATATGAATGTATATTTGTGTTTCTCTTCAACCTGGTTGGGCAAAAAAACATGTTGAAAGTTATTCTTTTTAAAGAGCTTTCCAGCTTCAAGATGAAATATTTTTTTTGATAGAAATGTAAAAGCTGAAAGTCAATGAGTATGTACATAAGTTTTCTTTTAGTGAAAAAAATACTTTTCAAACATTCACCTTATACAAGAGAAAGATGTCATTCTTGTTAAATTGAGCTTTGTATGGTCTCACTTTGGATCAAAACAAATGCATAGCAGCAAATTTAAATAACTACCAAATCTATGACCTTTAATTCTTTCTCTAAACAATTCTCATTTCTTGAAAAGTTTAAGTGAAAAGGACCTCTCTCCTTTTTTGTTTCCAGGGTTCCTCATAATGTAGGAGAACTATTCTATATGTCCTCTGCTTTTCTCCCAGTGTTTGTAAAATGTCTACATTCCTCACAATGAAGACCAGAAAAGGGCCTAAACAGAACTTGGCTGACTTTGTACCTCTATAGACCACTGGGTGCATCTACACATTCATTAATGTACAGTAGTTACTGTGCATTTAATTTAGGACTTGCTTAACAAAGTCCTAAGTAAATGCATAGTAACTAGAGTTACTGCACAGTAGTGTTGGTGCATGGGTTTTTAGTTATGCAGTAGCATATTAGAACAGTTTTTGCCTGGCATGCTACTGCACAGTATTATTAAGCTACTGCACATTAAGCTTCTCATGTAGATGCACTCACTGTGAGCCAAAATTGTGAACTAAAGAACTTGTGGCCAGAAGGCACCTAAATTCAGAAGCACATTGTTCAACCTTAAAATTGCCTACATGTCTATCAGTAGCATGATTGAGGGAGGAATGATTAGGACATCAGCCCCAGATGCTGCCTTTCCTTGGGGAGCGGGAAGAGAGGGCACAAAAACTGCTGCTACCACAGTGGCAGCTGACTGCATTACTACCATTGGCACCACAATGGTGTATGCTGCCCCATGCATCATGGCTTCCATGGGTGCGGAGCTGCCCTGCTACACTTCTGATGCTGCAGTTCTGTGCATGCATAAGTAGCTAGGAGCCTAGCTCCTTCCAAAATCCCATGGGGAGAGGTAACTAAGACCCCTGAAGAACCTGATTTGGTACATGGGCTCAACTGGCAGCAGGGAGAGGAATCTAGTCCAAACTCCTGCACACATGCAAAAATGTCATTCCGAAACAACTTCTAACAAATGCTTATCCAGCTTCCTCTTGAAAACCCGCAATAAGGATATTCTCCATCTGCCCTGGGAAGTCTATTCCATTGCCTTACTCTTCTAACAATAAGGAAGTTTATCCTGAGATCTAACGTGCATCTACTTTGTTTGATAGGATGCCTGACAAAGTATTTGGAAATATCTGAAGGCCCAGGTGGGGGTGGAGGATTCTTGCCGGTAGCAGGGTAACATATGGTTCTTGAATGACTCACATGGATTTGGAATTAATTTGGCTGATTTGACTTGGGATATGAAAACTTTTCCTACAAAAATAATCTATTTTGTTGCAGTTTAAAACCATTGTTTCATGTCCTTCCCACTGCAGCAAGGAAGAACAGTTATTCTCCCTCTTATTTATGCAAGAGGAAAGGATTTCTCAGAGTGATATCTTATTGGACCAACTGCATAATTGGGATAGAGTTAGATAAGCTTTCAAATGCAAGATATGCTTCAGTCTTTGCCTCTTACATAACTCCTGGATCATCATGGCTAGAGCATTACTCTTGCACTACCCTCATTTATGGCTGCCTTGAAGCCTTCATCTGATTTCAGGACTTTTCTGTATTTTTATAGTATTTTTATAGTAAACACTCATTGGATAAAGATCAGATACAGTTTGTTGCAAGAACCCAGAACTCCCTCAACCTAAGAAATTGGCCACAAGTGTTGCATACAGCCTCTGTGTGTAGCACATAGTGGATCAGGGAGGGAACAAGGAACACAGTAGAAACAGAGCTGAGTGCAGAAAAACTGATCAGACAGGGAGCATAGGGCAGGGACCAAAAAGCAGAGCAATGGATTGGACAATGAAAGAGGGTAAGAGTGGCATTTGGGGTGGGTATGGAGTTTACCTTGTGACATGCCTGCCAAAAAAGTTGGCCTCCAATGCACTAGGGTACAGAGTCATGCTCCTTCTTTATGGTGATCTCCCTGTAGCCTGATGAATTGTGAATTATTTTCTCTACAATAACCCAGCTTTGACCAGTATCCCATACCTTGTGTTTTGTATCTTGTGTTTTCTTTCTCTATTATCTCCCTTGCCTCTTCCTATTTCTTTCATCTACTGTCTGTGAAAAAACAGTACCACCTGTACTCTCATCCTGTGTTTTCCCTTTTACATTTACCCTGCTTTCCAATGTCTACCTCCTGGCTACCCATTTATTTATCTCCTTCCTTGCCTCCAAAAGAATATCAATATAAAGAGAAATAAACATTCCAAACGAAAAGGAAGAAAACTAGCAGTTATGAAGAAGGGTTTGACATTGTCAGAAGCAGGTAAACCTGATAGCCTGCAAAGAAATCTCAACTGAGATAGAAAAGGAGTTGTTAGTGATTATTGGCAGTGAAAAGTGCTCCAACACCACCCTGAAGACTAATTTAATTATTTTAATGACATCATAATGCCATATATAACTGAAGCTTTAGGTCAACTTGATAAGAATGTTGAATGCCCCTCCAGTATAAATCTTGACTATCTGTAAATGTCTATGGCCCAAAAATGCCATATTGAGGCACTGGATAATACCCAGTCTCCTGGGTGTGCTGAGAAGTAAAACATTATCTAAATTCAAAACTGGAACTGGAGTGAGGAAGAAAAGAAATGTATAGAAAGACTGGACCATATGTTGCTCCAAAACTAGAGCTCATCACATAAGGCCTGAACTAAAGCCCATTGAGGACAAAGGATTTTTTTCATGTGGGATTGCATTTGCAGATAAGAAATTAAATTAATTTGGTGATGAGTTCAGAGACTCTTTGCAAGGGGTTACGATCAATATTGAGAGGCGATAAAAAGTACTCTAAACTTGGTCTCTGCAATCAGGAAGCTGTGAAAACTCCAGCAACTATGGAAACTCCTAAAAAGGAATGACCAAGGAGATTTTATCCTAAAATTAATTTTTAAATAATTTTTAAAACCCGATCATCACAACAATGGAAAAGTAGTAGAAATAACACCAATGCACTTTGTTGCACTGAAGTCTCACAGATTCAGTGCCCTTTCCTATTCTTTTACCAAGATTAATGCATATAAAACTTTGGAAACAACCCTCCCAAATACTAGCAATTAATTAATTACAGTATTTGTTTAATGCTGTAATTAATCCCCTGTTTCTATTGTTTTTTTTAAAGCAGTTGCAGAAACCATTAAATAACCCATTACAAATCAAGCTCCTGTGTATCTTTAGCAGCACAGAAGTCAACTGTCTTGGCCTGTTTAACAACTATTACATTTACTGAACATGGAATGCACTTCGTCATGTATTTGTTAAATTATGTCATAATATTCTTACATTGATTTTTGTAAATACTGTAATATAACAAAAGAAAAAAAAGACAATTAATTAATAAATTAGTCAATACTTCACTGATATTAGTTTACATGGAGGAATTTATGAATGAAACAAAATGGAATTGACATATTAGTATATTCAGAATGCAGAGTAAGGATTATTTTTAATGGGGATATTTAGGTTGTTACAGTTGTGCTTGAGAGGATATTGAGATCAGCAAGGGAGCGGTCTAGAGTGTTGAAATATTCAACTATAGGTTTTAGATGACTTCTTAACAACAGGAGCAGACTTTTGACTTTTCAAGTGTTTTGATTGCTGCTGGTTTTACTACAGTTACCATTAAGGGTTATACTTGTGGTGTTAATTTGAGAAGACATAAAGAACAGAAATAGTTTTGCTCAGGGAATGATACTGCAAATTTTGCTTCTAAGTATGTCTTAAAAACACGGTAGTTTCTTCTAAGATTTTGCAGGTAATGTGCCTGTGTTCGCTAAAATCATGAAAGCTAGGATTGAAGACTGACTGATTCAATGTAGCTCTTGCCAACAATTTGCAGAGATTAAGCGGCTGTTGGAAAGATATCAATGGAGGTTTAGGGATCACTGTCTGAAGTATTCTAAATTAACAGCTAATGGATGTTTTTAATAGCTGTTTTATAGATGAGTGCAGCTGAATGGAGAGCAACAACAAAAAAGCTCAATTTTGCTTAGTATCAGCTTTAACTTTGTTTCACAGATGATGACATGGTATTGCACTAGCTTTCTCAGTTTGCATCTGTATCAGCTAAAATTAGATTTATTTAAAAGTTAATAAACATATTTGTACACTCTTTAATTCTTTCCCAATAGTTTTTTATTATTATTACGGAAGATCACTTAATTCCTTAAGTACTGCACATACTTCCAAAGAATTGTACATCATCCACAATGTTCAGTAGTTACAATGTTGTTCAAAATGATGAACAGAAATTAGGATGCTGAAAAAACCAAACTGAAAATGCTGACATAATCAGGTATTCCGACAGCCCTAATATACAAAGAAATATGACTTGTATATTCAATATTCAGTTTCAGTTCCCCACTGGGCTGAAGAAGGTCCATGGAAACTGAGTGTATAGGAAAGAATACAAGTAAAATAGAAAATGAATGTTACTTGATGTTGTGTTTTGCAAAGATTTACATACTTTTCTGTCTTCGTCTCTGCGCGTGTTGGTGGAATACCATATGATGGGTTCTTAACCTAAGTGATAAGTGGAGATGTGACACCAGTGTTTTTGTTTACTTCCCATGTGTTTGAACTATCTGACTATGGTTACAGCCAAGATTTGGCCCAATGAGATTTAGAAAGAATGTTTCAAAGAAGTGAGACTTCTCACTGTTTATAAATTTGGATTCTTCCTTTCTTTATGCATACATGTGAGGAGTGATGCATACATTCAATTTTTAGATTTTTTCTTAAATAATTAGTAGTTCAGTACCAACTACACAATTTTGGATTGTATTTCAATATTTAGGTAACATCTATTTCCCCATCCAGAGATTCTTCTTTTACAGATTACACCCAATTATGAATTCCTGTCAAATGGGCACTTTGCATATGTATACTTTCTTAAAATCAGCCTGTTTTGGAGGGCACACCCTCATAAATCACAGATAATACCAGTGAAACCACTGGAGTTAAACCAGTATGAAAGCAGAATAAGGCCCTTTATTGTTGAGAAAAAAAGTCTTTTTCCACACATGCTCATTTTATTTTTGTATCCCAATCCTCCCCTTCCCAAAGCTGTTACTGAAGTTCTATACATAACACATCAGCAGGGGTCCAGGTTTTCTGTGATAAAAAAAAATCCCCAATTTTTGGGATACAAAAAGTAACCCGAAATCCACATTTTTCTGTGATTAAAATGAAACACCACTAACATATAGATATATATATATATATTGGTGTTTCATTTTGATCACAGAAAAATGTGGATTTGGGTTACTTTTATAACCTGAAAATTGGGGATTTTTTTTTTATCAAAGAAAACCAGGATCCCTGCACATCAGGCATTACATGTTATGTGGACACTTTATGTTGCTTCCTTAGACGATATAAAAATCTTCAAGTCTCAGATAGAAGACACATTCCTTCAGCTCAGGTCATAGAGACTTATTTTTTGAGCTCTGAAGGGGTGGTATAATCCCAAACAAGATAGGACCTGTCACATATACAACATAGACTGTAATATACAACATAGACATAGGACCGGTAACATATGTCCCTCATACAAACCTACTTCCTTTACCTGGGTCCTTCCATATGACAGATACTCACAATAGTGCTATGGGGTGCCTGCAGACGTGTGGGGACACTGCTGTGATGTGTTGTAATTAGCATGTGGTAAGTAGCATGCTCTAGCAGCCTCCGCATCTCGTGTATTCAGCATTCCTGTGCTTCAAAATGACAGTGGGGTGCTTTAACTTGTCTATGATCTTTAGTTAAAGTGCCCGCACTGCCATTTTGAAGCACAGCACATTGAATACACAAGATGCTGCAGGCACTTTAATTAGAGTGACTCTCAGATCTGCTCTAATCAAAGTCCCCCCCAACGTACCCATCCCCACCCCCACAAGCCCAGAGCATATGTAAAGACACCCATGGAGGTTAAAGTTGTTGGTTGTTTCACACTTAGCAAAATCCAGCACTTGAATGATTTGGCGTTTGCACTAAAACAAAGGGTGAAGTTACAGGTTACACTTAGACCATATTAAATCTGTGAAAAGTTAAGTGGTGTTAAAGTTACAATGTGCCGTTAGCAGTGACATGTTAAGGGTTAATACTGTTTCTTGCTTGCACAACTCTGACTTGCCACTAGAGGATTAGCAAGGCGGGGTGTGGCTAGGTGGTAGGACACTTGTCTCTGTGCTCCAGGGTGCAGAGGAGGGCTGGGAGCAGTGCATCCTGGGATGCTGGAGGACTGCAAATTGTTCATTTCATCTCAGTGGAGTAGACTGAGGTTATCTTAACACAAGCTAGGTGGAGTTAGCCCTTGCGTGAAGTGGCATAACTTTGAAATGCTGAAAAGGCATTCAGCATGACTTAATGAGCTATAATGTGCAGACGCTCACATTTTAGGTACCTTTAGTGTGGTCTAAGTATAACATGTAACTTCACCCTAAAAGGTTGTTGGTAGTATCATGAAAACACAAAATGTAAAAAGTGACTTTTAAGACAATCAAAGTACCACTGTGTTTGGAATAGGCAATGTCACTGATCAATTATTCATCAACCGTAGTGAGGGATACCAAATTGTGCTGAAAGTATTTTCTGTGCAGACAATGTATACTTAATACCACTGTATAACAGAGTAGAAATCACAGCAAAATTCTATTTTATACTATTTTATATTAATTATTGTAAAAATAATGTTACATTCTTACTAATCTCATTCCAGAAACTTGCCAATAGCAGATAGCTCACCTCTTTCTGGAATATAAACCCACGTTCTCTATTCGCAAAGGTGATCACAAAAAGCAAACAGTCTTTGTGACTAAAAGCCTATGTGTTAAGCACATTAATTTGAATTTCTGTATCCATTTAATCAGTGAGGGAAACTTCAGATGATATTCTTATTCTTCATTATCAAACTTATTCCAGCTATTCATGGGTTCACTTTTGCATAAGAAATCATTAACTTTTAAAATGTTTTATTTGCTTGGAGACTGTTAGCAATGGTTTGAAAAATAGTTTTAACTCAAAATGTAAAAATGTATTTCCACTGACCTGAAATGATAAAGTTTTATCATTTGTGAATACCTTTCCATTTTTTTCCTTTTCCTTTTCTTTATTGTGAGAGATGCTCATCCTATGTAAAGATCACAAGTATCCAATTAGCATATTATAGTGATCTATTCATAGCATATACATTTTATGTAGATCTTCATAGTATTTAGTAAAATATCTGTCATTTAAGTACTACTTTAGTATGGCCCTTCAGGGTTTGTCTATATTGCCTCCGTCATGAGCTTAGGACTGCCAACAAGGACTGCCCCACCTACTCAGTCCCACTCAGACCTAGATGGTTTAGTGGAATTCTGTGCGCGCACTTCTTTGGCCTCAGACTGCTCTCAAACTGCTCCATGCTATGTATGGTGCCTAATCTCTAGGTTTGGTTGTATGTTAAGGAGGTGCAGGTGGGTGACACTTATTTCCTTGATGGTGGTTCTGCACTTTGCATGGTGCTGGGATAGAGATACCCAGAATCTCCTGGGAACCACTCTAACTAATTTACAAACTTCCTGTTAACCAAAAAGGGCACCCAGTTCTACTCAGAAGGGTATACGGGTCTTTAAAGACATATATACAGACAGTTTTCTGTCCCAAATCACTTGCACTACTCACCCAAAGAAAGAAAGACACTCACATTTGTATTCTCTGCAAATCTTTTCTTTTCAATCTGTTTCTTATGCTTTAATATTTAATTCATTCCCGTTGTTGTAGAAGGTTGAATAATACCATGAGCCTTAGTAAAGCAAATTGCTGACTTCAGTGGTAGTGTTCTATGGCCTGAAATGCCAGTCTGTTTTTGAAGAAAAAATTATCTAAACTAAGAATCAAGAGAGAATAATTAAAAAAAAACCTGGTTATAGGTTGCTTACAGCTGGGTAAGACTAACCTCCAACAATATTTGTTTTCATAATTGATGATTGACTTTAAGATAACTGTAACATTAGTGTTCATAGATTCTAGTCCCATCACTGCAAATGTCTGCTAGATTTCAGTTCTGAAAACTGAGCAAAAGCAAAACAGCAGTGAAAAAATAAGTTTAATACTTAACTATGCTAGTTATATGTGAGTTCCCATCTTAAGGTCCATATCTGAATTGTACCTTTGGAAGAAAGGAATACATTTTACTGTTCAACATCTTCATTAATGATGTGGACACTGGAGTCAGAAGCGGACTGGCTAAGTTCGCCGA